TTCTGGGGAGCTAGCTGAATTGAGAGAGCAATGCTGAGATGAGAGGTATGCGTACCATACCCACCCTAGAGGTAACTTGTGTACAATATAAGGGGGAGAAAAAGAATTTTGCTCTCTCTCCTTTTATTACTTTTTCTGTCTTCTGCACCACTTCAGTGGCCGTTCTTTATTTCAAGATAGCAGCTACTTCTCTGCCTCCCTTCCACAGTAAGAGGAAAGTGAGCAGGAAGTAGAGAACATTCTAAGGGACTCCAGGATCTGTGGGCTGATGAAGCCTGAGGTTGCACCTCTTCCTCCTACTTCCTGCTCTGACACTTGAACCTGCTCATGCTACAGTCATTCTAAACTCTTTCTCCTGCTCCTCATTTGCCTTCTAGTCCATGCAGTTGGGATAATCAGTGATTTTGAGCATGGCCCAGGTCCAGGGATCCAGCCTTTGAACCTCAACATTATTAATGAAGAATATGGGGGCAGGGAGCTTGTAGGGAAGATGGAACTTCTGTACTATTGATTCCCAGCTCTACTCAGGCTCTATTCTGTTCAAAAGGCCTCATGTCTGCATTCCAGAAACCCAGGGTATTGGATTAATAATATCCCTTAGCTACTGAGGACTGACCAGGCCCACAGTCTCCCAAACGAGTGAATAGGGAAAGCTTTAATAAATGAGACAAAAGCTATGATTTCAGGGCTCAGGAGGAACAGAAATCTTTTCACAGAATTTGAGATTTTTCTGGGATTTTAGACAAAGACTTTTCCAGGGTGGCCCATATTTATTAGCTTTTCAAACAAGAAAGGGGGAACACTGAAGAAGAAGTAGGAATTTGGACAGGACTTGGGAGTCTTTTCAACAGCTTCTCCAAGTAATGCAGTATGTTAATTTAGGAGAACTATGTCTTCTCCAGGAAGGCCTTCCCTGCAGGAGTGAGGTGCCTGCAGCCACAGTCTCTATCTAGTTAACTGAGGTTGGAGCCATGTATCCTTAGCCGTGGCCTTGGCTTGGCTTGGCTTGTGAGGCCTCATGGCTACAACCATCATTATAGGCCTCCATGGCTCCGGTGACTCACACAGGTTCTTTAGCCAAGCTGGCTTGGCAGCAGCATCTTGCTCCCATGAGGTCCACAGTAAAGTTTTCTAGTCACAGTTAGTGGAAATATTTAATAATAATGTGATTATTCTTGTTGCTCAATAATGATTCTGCTGGAATTTATAGTCTCTGCCTAGAAATGCAGTTTTCTTTCGCAGCATATGCTGAGTCAAACAGTACAATCACACAGGTCTTTTTCCTTAGCCTTTTGATGTTGTCGATGGCATCGATGTTTGAATGCCAACAGCCGTGCTTACCTGAAATAAAATCTCACTTGGTTCTGCTGTGCAATTCATTTTATCTACGGTTGGAGTAGAGTTCCTAGTATTTTCTTCAGCATTGTTGTATCTGTATTAGTAAGCATATTAACCTATAGTTTGCCTTTCTTGTAATATCTTTATTTCGTTTTGTTGTTTGGGTAATGCCGATGACCTGATGGAATCAATTAGAAAGTGGTGACTCTGCCTCTCTTTTCTATCATGAAGAATTGGCTTAATTTTTTGCTTAAATGTCAGAAGAATTCAGAGTGAAACCATCTGGATCTGGGACTCTGCTATTCACAGCATAATTAATTATTGATTCAATTTATGTAATAGATACAGGCCTATTCGGATTATCTTCTTGTTTGATAAATTTTAATAGTTTGTTATTTTCAAGGAATTGGCTCATTTCATGAAATTTTGCCATAGAATTGTGCATAGTGATCCTTTCCGTACTTTTAATGTCCATATGGCCAGTAGTGATGACCTGTCTTTCATTGCAGAGATTGATAATGTATGTTCCACTCTTCTTCTTTCTCTTCCTCCTCTTCCTGTCCTCTCCTTTCTCCTCACTCTTTTCTTTCTTTCCTTTTCTCCACTCTTCACACCCCTTTTCCGTTTCATTTTCCCCCTCTTCTCACCTTTGTTTAGCCCATTGTGTTAGCTTTCTGTCAGTGTGACCATAACACTCAGGATAATCAGCTAAAAGGAGGAATATTTATTATTTTGTTTCACTGTTTCATATGTTCCAGTCCATGAGATCTGGCCTTTGTGCCTGTAGTGGTCACACGGGTCATGGCAGGAGCATGCAGTAGAGGAGGATTTTTCACTGCATGAGAACCTTGAAGCTAAGAGAGAGAAGAGGCAAGGGGGGAGCCCAAGTATCCCCTTCAAGGATACCCCCCATGACCCAAATTCTCCCACAAGGAGCCTCCTCTTAAATGCTCTACCACCTCCCAATAGCACCACTGGCGAGAGACCAGGTCTCTCAGCACATGAACCATGCAGGGTTATTTCAGATCTGAAAAGGAACTCGCCAAGAAGTTTATACATAAATATCATTGATCAGTTTTTTGCAGCTGAGTTAAATACAAATATTATAGGCAGTCACACAGGGTCAGGCCTTCAAAAGGAGCCAGTTGAAAGGTGAGATGCCTCATGACTGTGAGAGACAGACACACTTCTGCCGTAGACCAAAGTTCAAGACAAAAGAGCAAGCAAATGCATACCTCCCTACAGACAAATGTCTGGGACTGATATTGGAAATAGGTCTCTTACCTTGAGGAAGCCTGGAAGAGTCACTAACCCAGCTCCTGTGGGAGAGGCCCCTGCTCTGCGTTCATGTCCACTTGCTATGTATCACACTTCCCCATTTGGTCCTGGATTTAATCAATCCTACCTGAGCAATTGTGCTTGTAACCTTATTGGGTGACCATAGTTTTGTTCCATCTCATGTGTGAGTTCCCATGTTTTCCACCTTAGATCCACTGCTATGACTTGTGTGTAGTTGTCCCTCCAAAGCCTCATGTAGTCATGGGCAGACTTCTAGAGTTTCTGGTTAACTCATGATCCACTGGGATTATGGGTGTGAGTGTTGCTGGGACTATGGGTATAAATGCTGCTGGGATTATGGGTGTGACTACTACACCCAGTCTGGGACATATAGCCTGAAAGCAACTTAAGGGAGACAGACTTTCTCTCTGTAGCCATTGTTGCTGCTACTCCACAATTTTTTTCTCTGCTATTTGCCGCTGTTTTGAAAGGTTGCTCTCTGCCATGTTCGGCTCTGCCTTGGAGCCAGCCAAGTATGGACTGAAACCTCCAATCACTGTGAGCTACATAAACCTTTCCTTCCTTCATTTGGATGTTGGGTATTTGTCCCAGCAATGAAAGACAAGAGCAAGTGAGACACCAACCTCACCTCATGGTTTCAGTCTATAAAATCTCTAGCAGCTTCACGGACAACCCACTTACTCAGGTCCCCCTTCTGTTCTGCTCTCAGATAGGACCTTTCTCTCCCCCAATAAATATATTCTGCTCTTAAAAATAAATAAATAAATAAATAAATAAATAAATAAATAAATAAAAATTTTCTTGCTACACTTTTGATTTGTATAATGATCTAATTCATTACAGGGAATTTTTATCTGTACAGAATATATCTTGATTCTTGTTTTTCCTCCCCCCATTCTCCCTCCCTTCCTTGAATCTCTCTTCCTTCTTCATTTATAAAAGATCTGTTTCCATTTTTTCTCTTTTGTTCTCTTTCTTCGCTTTCCCCTTCCTTCCCTCCCCCCTCATTCTTTCTTTCTTACTTTCCCATTTAAACATCTTCCTCCTCCTTCCCAAAATCTATCATCCATTTTGGTCCTTATTTACACTTTTGGTTTCTCACCCAAGAGAAGTAATGTGATATTTAACATATGTGTTTGATTTCACCCAGCCTTTGTTGATTTTCTCTGTTGTCTTTAGTATCATTGATTTCTTCTCTGATTTTTACATATTTTCTTTAAGCTTATTTTTTTTCTTCCTCTAGTGTCTTAAGGAGAAAACTGATGAGTTAAAATCTTTTTCTTTTTTGATATGTGTATTTAAAATTAGACTTTTCTTTTTGTACTTGGAATCAAACTCATGACCTTTTGTTTGCTGGGCAGACACTGTGCCACTGAGCTATCTCCTCAGTCTTACATTTATCTTTAAGTACTGAAATTGCTGTATCCCACAGACCATGAATTACATTTTCACTCTCATCAAAGTTCAAAATAGTTCTATTGTCCTTTGAGACTTTTTGACTAACAAGTTATATAGAAGTACGTTCTTTTACCTAGAAATCTTTGGGGGTTTTCAGTTATCTTTCTAAGTTTCTTTTCTCATTTAATCCCATTGTGTTATGGAATGAACTTTGTATGTTTCCTAAATTTCTAAATTGCTTATGGTGTGTCATATGGTTTAGAATCTTGGTGAATCTACCTCTTTATTTTTATATTTTTGTCTTTTTGATTTCCTGGTACCTACACTTTGACTAAATAAATAACCACTATGTTCTAGCTGATAAATTTGCTAATTGTGAAAATGTTTTACATATAGTGGAGGAGGGAAAGAAATGTAAGCGTGTGATGGATGGTGAAGGTGGGCTTTTCAGTGGGAGAGTGAAATTACAGAGCAACACAATGGAAATGTTTGAATGAACACCAAGGTAGCAGAATTACATCATAGACATTAGCAGAAAAGTCATTCTATGTATATAGATAGTTACAGATATAGTTATAGATATAGATCTTATATAGACAGATAAACAGCTTCAGAAATGAGTCCACATGAATATAGGCATGTGTTAGTATCTGATGCAGCTAGCTTTCTTCTCTGGGATGGCTTAGAATCAACGATGCTCAGCAACAATGAACGCACCGATGGTTCCCTTATTGGTCACAAAATGTCAGTCTTCACTGCCAGGAAACAATTCCTTGAAGAAGAAACTGATACTAGTAATGGTGTTCAATAAACAAAAGAATGGAAAAATAACAACACAATATAGGAGCTAATATGGCTTCACTTTATTTGTTTGTTTGGTCTCACTATGCAGTTCAGACTCATAGTGATCCTCCCGTCTCAGCCTGCCCAGAGCGGGGATTACAGGTGTGTATGTCCATGTTCAATTTTGGTGGCTGTCACGGCACACTCAGGGTTCTGGGTTCAGCATGGCATGTGGTACCAGTGATCAAACTTGGGTCCTTGTGTTTCCCAGGTGGGAACTTAGATCTATCTCCCCAGCCCTATAAGGGAGATAATTAGAAACTGAAACAATCAATGTGTCCAAATGAATAACATGGTGTTAGAAAACCACCCAAAATTAGAAAATAAATGTATAGATGTACATGATCAATTAAATAAATATGCAAGAATATATTTTCTTCTTGATGTGTTCTAAATCTGTATATAAATATGTACCCTTCCAGGATGTAGAATTCACATTGTGCAAGCTCAGCCTCACTGAATGTGCACTGATCTTCAGAGTAGGGAGTGGCAGGAATGATCACGTTAGAGTGCAGATGCTTGGCAAACCCTGCCTCAGTCAAATGATGCACATAAAGGACCTTCGTAGGATCACGTGGCATCATGGACCGCCTGATAAGAGGTGGCAAGGAGCTCTTTATTCCTGTGGTTGTCTCTCCCCAAGACTTGGTACTCCAATCTAAGCTGTTGGTAAGTTCTATGTCAGAGTATCTCAGAGGAGATGTTCAATGAAGTACCTGGCCGTGATTCCAGAGACTATGGAGGCCGAGAAAAAGGGAAAACAGAAATCATCACAAGTTAAAGCATCCCTGGGAGCCTCGACGAGATTTCCTAGGTTGGATCCTGGAACAGAAATGGAGAAGTGATGAAAACAATCTGACTTACTCCAAAAGAAATTAGAATTCCTATGAACAGTATGTTCCAGTGTCTTTCTTTAGGTTTGACAAATGGGCCATGGTAAAACAAGATTAATAATTATGAGGGAAGTTGAGTGGCATAGAACTGTCTTCATTATCCTTGCCATTTTCTGTATGTTTAGTAGAATTTCAATACTAAGTTTCATTTTTAGGGCTGGTAAGATAGCTCAGCAGGCTAAGCAGCTGTTTAGGCAAGTTCAGGGACAAGAGTTAGATCCCCAGTACCACAGGCTGTGCTGACCCCTCCCTCAAGCATGCAGAACCAGGGACCAAACCAAGTCCAGGTGGTGGTGCATGCCTGAAATCCCAGTGCTGAGGAGGCTGGAAATAGGAGTCGGAGCTGTGTAGTGAGTACTGTACCAAATGCATAAAAGGTAGCTTTTTATTTTTTTAAAAAAAGATAGCTTGTATTTCTAAATTTAAAATAAAACAAATTATCTCTTCAGTAGGATATGTATTCAGCATATGATAATCAAACAAATACGCTCTACCTAGTTACTATGTGTTTCTGTTAACGAGCAGCATGTGTCATGGGTAACAGAAATTTTTTGACCTTCAAACCTAAGGAAACCATAAATAGATTCAAGATCTCATTATATTTATATGAACCAGGTTATCAAGTAGAATTTCTTTCATTTAGAGCAGAAAGTGTTTCATATTTGTTCCTTGCAATTCTTAATTTTGCAAGTCTGTTTTTGAATTTAATTAGGGTAGAAAGCAAGCCTAAAATGTACTAAACCCATAAATATTGGTGGTTTCCCTATTCCTACTGCATGGAATATGAGAGCTATTTTTACCTTGTTAGGTGATTTATTCTTAAGACATTAAAGCTCAAAATAAACACAGTCCAAAAGTGCCACAGAATATGTTGCTATTTTAAGATCGCTCTCAGAGAACAAGCAGCAAGTGTAAAAATCACAAAATTCCCAACCTCTACTTTATACTTAGAGACATAATGCAACATATTAGCAAAATAATATCAGAAATGCATATTATCTTATCAGTCAGGGCTTTACTAGAGAAACAGATAACACACAAGCTATGAAAATGCATAAGAAATGACAAGATTGGCTTAGGATGGTCAGCCAGTGTCGGATAAAGAAGTATGCAGCGGGCGTCTGCACACTGGGGACTGAAGGATTCCGCCCAAGGGCTGGGGCTCACTGCAGTGTTCCATGCAAGTCCGTAGCAGGAGACCGATGGGTCCTTGACAGAAGGACGACAGGTCTGTGCTGGAAGGCTGAAGGATCCAAGGCAGAAGCTAAAGAGTGCTGGAAGCCAGGAGATGACGTCCATGTTGAAGGCAAAGACTGGAACTTCTCTGAAGCATGGAAGCCTGTTGCCCTTCCGTATGTCCCTTTCATACCAGCCAGGTGATGACTCACCTGGGGGTGGCTCCTCTACACTCTCACCCAAAGCATTGCTGAGCCCATCTAGTCAAGCTTCTAAAGTTGACACAATCCAGCAACCACTATATTATATCAGTGCATAAGTACCACAGGTGCATAGATACCATAACACAGTACGGTAAATACAAAAGCATGATTTCTACCACAGGGAAAATATCAATTAACTTCTTTGTATTTTTAGAATGTAAAAAGTAGTAAACTATTCCAATGACGGGTGATAAAATGTTTAAGTTTGATACTCTATTTCCTAGAATCTGTGATGATATTAGATGATGACAAGCATATCTTAAATTGCACAAAAATAATTATAATATCCCATTTGGAAACTAAAATTTATACTTGATTTTTTAATTTTTATTATATAATATATTTATTTATTTGTATTTTAGGGAAGAGTCTACAGGGTGTTCACTTTCTCACTACTAGATTGGACTGATCCACCTGTTTACAGCCTCCCAACAGCTAGGATTACAGGGGCACACCACCAGGCCCAGTCTCAATTGCCATCTCAGCGCACTCTGGGGGCAGGGCTAGCACAGCAGGCCTGGCAATTAACCCCCAGGCCCTGCACCTGCTTACAGGGGCTTTAATCTGCTGAGCCAATTGGCCAGCCCTTAAAATATATATTTTAATTCTTCTCTCATACCAATATTCTAGTAGTTGGTCTAGATTGCATTTCATTAACATAAGCTTAAAACTAAAAGTAAAATCCTCATTAGCAAAGCATCAAAACCTTACCTTTTAGTACCCAGTGCAGTCTACTAATTATTGCAGAAACTACTTGATTTTGAAAAAGACAAATATGTTTTATCTTGTGTGTTGCTTAATGTTAAGAAAATATAGAGAAAGATCTGGCAAGGCATCTCTTTTTTTTTCTTCTTAAATACTTACACTGCTTTTTCAGAAGGGAATGGAGAAGAAAACATAGTTCATGGCAAGTTTGTGAACAGAAAAAAAAAAAAAAAACTATTCTGCCCTCTTATATCTAATCCATTCTTGTACTAAAGGGTAAATTTGACATTCTTCCAACTACCACTAAAACTGTCAGAAAATCCTTAAAAATTGCATTTAAAAAAATCAATAGTGCCCCTTCACATCTTTTAAATTGGTCAATTTTGATTGCCTAGTGCCCTGAAACACTTTGGAATTCACTTGAGTATAGATGGGCTAAGCCAGTCATTATGAAACTCATTAAAGACAGACACCAAATGTAGAAAGCAGGGTGTTGTAGGAACACATTAAAATATATCCTGGACACCACTAATGAAGGGTAGTGTGAGTTCTTGAGTGTACCATCTTCTGGATCAGGGGATCAGGATGGAGAGAGAGAGAGAGAGAGAGAGAGAGAGAGAGAGAGAGAGAGAGAGAGAGATTTAAAGCATGGTAGGCTAAAAATTCAAAAGCATAGATTTTGTTTGTAGGGTAGTATGTAACAAATTGAGAAAACCAGATGATATTTCCAGCCAAAGATGGCATGAATACTTATGGGTTTGCAAGGATGCGAAGCTTGGCAAGGGATGTTTCTCAACTTCACATGTCCCTGTCCTTCAGCTTTAGCACTTAACAAAATCCTGGTGAGGATTGTCATCATTGTCTCTGTTCTTTTCGAAGATGATGAATAAACCCCCAAAGTAACATGACTTAATAAGATGCTATTTGTATGGAGTTGATATATGCCCCGTTTACATTACAAGCTAAACTTATCACACGTTAAATTCTAATTAATTTCCTCCTAGGATATGAATGAGCATAACATTTTCAGCATACACTGCTGTGAAAAACAATTATTTTGTCACATGCAGAGGATTGTGTGTAGGAAATGAACAGTGGGCGTAGAAAGATTCTTTGGGAAACATTTTTTACCTCTAAGTGTCTCTATACTCATATTTGTGTAAGGCACAAATTAATAATGAATGTTTGCATAAATAATATATGATATGTATGTAATCAAAAAGCACACATTTTCCAAATTGTTCTAGTTGCCCTTAAAACATCATTAGCATCATAGCTCTGGGACATTACTGGTTTGTATGTGCTATGTATACCTTCATGGGCAAGTTCAAGAAGACCAAACGCCATGTATTTGCCTGACCCTGTCTCATCCACAGGCTCTGCTGTGTGCTGTGAGGTAGCACTGGCCAAGGATGGTGGCCTAGGATTTTAACTCCTACAGCAGAGTTGAGGGTGCCATGGGAGAGTAAACGTTGCAATGGTTCCCCTTGTGTAAGACACTCAGAGATAACTTGCCCAGTCTAGACCTAAATACTAACCCAGGATGTCACACACAGAATGGGACATCAGAAAGGAACACTGAGGTCTAGACTGCTGACTTTAGCCAGGCTCGTCTTACTCAGAGGGAAAAGAGACTGTTGAGGCCCAAGATTTTGGTGCAGCCTCCTCTCCCTCTCAGTGTATGCAAGCACTTGTTGGAGGAGGTAGCTCTTGTCCCCTCAAAGGATATACACTCCAAGAAGGAGGAGCAAGCCAGACATGCCACCTTTTTCATTCTATGTCTCTTCCAAGCACTTGGCTTACAGCTCAGCCCAGAATGGGTGCAGATACCTCTGTTGGCCAGGATCACCAGGCAACAGACCCAGGAGAAGGGACCAAAGATAGTAGTTCTGATATCATCCCAGGGCTAAAATGCTTAAAGGACTCATCCTTGCAGGTCATCAAGAACCCTCTCTCTAGCCAGGTTTGGTGCTACATGCCTGTCATGCCAGCACTCTGGAGGCTGAGTTTGGAGGAACACTATGAATTTTGAGAACATCCTGGGTTCTTTAGTGGGTTCATGGCCAAGCTGAAGTGCATAGCAAGACCCTGTGCAAAATAAAATAAAATAAAATAAGAGGAGAGAGAGAGAGAAAGAGAGAGAGAGAGAGAGAGAGAGAGAGAGAGAGAGAGAGAGAGAGACTCTGTGATGTGCAAACAAGCAACTTTATTTCAGACAGAACCATCAGATCTTCCCAGACATCACTCAAGTGTCTTAGTCTTTATATGCCTAATTCTGCTAAAGGTGCATTCAGGTCCCTGGAGAGCAAGGGCTGAGATCCCCTGTCAGCTTCTCTGTCCCTGGGAGCCTGGATGTCTCTTCTTCAGATACTCCTGCAGATCCCCTCACCAAGGCATAGAGAGTTCTGCCCCTGCCTCTCCATCCTTCACTGCCCAATTTGTACCTGCAGAAGACAGTAGAGGTGGCCTCCTGCACAAGAGTACTGGAGGTGACCTGGTACAGGATTTCTTCCTGTCTTCCTCCTTGAGACAAGCCTGTCCTCTCCAGTCTTCTCAGGAAGGAAGTGCTTTCAATGATGATTGTTAATGTACAATATCACATGAAGACACACACATCTCCCGTTTCTTGAGTTTGCCAAGTGACACTAAAAACAACTGCTAGTGCCTGGACATCTCGTTAGACAATAGATTTTAGGGGATATGTTTTACTTGACTGATTAAAAAAAGGCTTTACAAAATAGGTGGCTCACCCAAGTGGAAAGGACAGCAAATTGGCTTTGGCTCAGAATGCCCAGAGGGGCATTTGACTTAGGTGTCCAAGGATTTTGTGAAATGAACATTTAAATGACTTAACCAAAGTTGGTTGCCAGTACTGTTTGTGTTCTTAGAGTCCTAGACCTGCAAGAAGCATGCAAATTTAAATTGTACTCACAGAAGGAAGAACTCTGAATCAAGACAGTATCCTTCTTGTGGGATAATGTCATCATGTCTATTATCATGTCTTTGATGATAAACCTACCTTTATTTACTTGTTTTTTTTTTGTTTTTTGTTTTTTTTTTTTTGTTTGTTTGTTTTTTTTTTGGTAATCTACATCTCTGATTCAGGGAATGATATATATTTGTTCAAAGTGCTGAAAACTGAGAAAAACCCAAAGTTTGTACCAGGAGTAGGAGAATATATGATGTCCTTATAATATGTGCTGTTCAACAATGAGAATAAAAGTGCTATAAATGATTGCATAATGTGGGTGACTGTCTCGGACATAATAAGCAAAAAAGGCAGAGATGAAAGTGTGTGGACTCCATGATCCAACTGTTTCAAACTAAAGAATGGAACATTAATCTATGTTATTAAAAAATCAGGATCGGGAGGTAGGGACCTTGGAGAAACCTAAGAGGGCTTCTGAAATTAAGGCAGCATGTAGCTTTTCACGTGCTTCCTGATTAGATAAGGGTGTTTACTTGCTGGATGTTAGGGTTTGTGTCTGGTTGTCGCCCCAAAGCCTCATGCAGTCATGGGGCAGACTTCTAGAGTTTCTGATTAACTCATGATTCACTGGGATTATGGGTGTGAGTGCTGCTGGGATTATAGATATGAGAGCTACATTCAGCCTGGGTTGAATAGCCTGAATTCAACTCAAAGGAGACAGACTAGTTCTCTGTAGCCATGGTTGCTGCTGCTCCTCCCTTCACTCTCTGCTCTTCGCCACATGAAATGTTGCTCTCTGCCATGTGTGTCTCTGCCTCGGAGCCAGCTGAGTATGGACTAAGACCTCCACTAACTGTGAGCTAAGTAAGCCTTTCCTTTCCTAATTTTGAGTGCTGGGTATTTGTCCCAGCAATGAGAGAAGAGTAACTGAGACACTGAAAATCATAAAACTGCACGAGGAAGAACCTCACTTTTCTGAGTATTTGTCATGATTCAACCAATCACTAACAGCAACAAGAACAATGAGGAGCAAACTGATTCAAAGGTATGAATCTAAACCCTAGTGTCAATTCCAGGCTTTCTTGCCTTCCTGGCTGATGGCACAATAGAGCCTAGAGCCACCATTCAGTGCAGTGATTGCGATGTCGCTCATTGGATTCCACTTCATAAATAGCACAATTCCTCTTCATCAGCATCATAATTTCAGAGTCAACAGAGTTTTATTCCTTTTGATCTGTCATGGGCACTTTCTTATATGTCTGCATGTCTCATAATTTTTAAGAAGCTTGACATTTTGAATAATGTAGCAATCCGAAAACTGAATCTTGCCTGTCTAGATGATTTGTTGATATTATTGTTTTGCTATTTGTTTGTTTAATGACTTCCCTGACTAATTCTCTATAGTCTTTATTATCTCTCATGTGTGGCCTCTGGAGTTCCTGTTTCATTAGCTTAGTGATCAGATGATTACATAGAGTTTTATCAAATTTTTGGAGACTGTAAGTCTCCTATCTTTTGTTGAGTGGCTCTGTATGTGCAGCCATCTCTTGGCAGCTGTGAGTACCCCTGTCACAATCCCCTTAGCTAACAGAGTCAGTGGATGTTCAAGTCACTTACATGAAGACGCCCAGCATTTATAGATAGTATACTCACATCCTCTTGCATACTTTAGGTCACTTCTGGGTTGACTATAATACCCAATGCATGCAAGTTCTGTATGAACAGTGTTATACTCTACTGCTTAGAGAAAATGACAGGGAAAAAAGTATGCACTTTTTGGCACAATTTTTTTGTTTTGCAAAAATCTTTCATCTGGAGTTGGTTGAATCTGTGGCTTCAGGGCTGGTGGAAAGAGAGCAGACAGTGTACTAAGAACCACCTCTAACCCTCAGCCAGTTGAGAGCTCTGTTTTGTCTTCCACTCCCGTTTGCACAGTCTCAATGTCACAACTTGATATTCTCTTATATGTGTCTCTAGCACACTTCAAACCCTGAGCATGTGTGTGGAATTGTAGAGTCCCAGAAATATGACAGAGGTTTCTAAGGCCACTTAAGGATGTAACAGTCACTATTGTCCCAGTTACCTGTGGTCATAAACAATTGCTACTGATACATAGTTAAAGTCTCACTGTCAAAGATGTTCAAGATATATGGGCTTATCAGGTCTAATGATAATAAATTAAAAAGCCTAGTTTGGTAGGTTTCTGTAGAACTGTCAGATCAAAATATGTGAATTCTTCATGAAAGGTGCTTTAGGGGAGTTCTAAGTGTGTTCTGGCTCCTGGCTCCTGTTTCACAGTTAGTTGTTATGCTAAAGTTTTCTAGAGTTATCATGGAAGTTATCAGGGATGGGAATAGCGAATATTCAGAGGTACAAAAGCTGATAGTTATTACCAAGATTCAACTGTTTTAGGAATAATTTTTTTCTATATAGCTTCATTTTGTAAGTTATTGTATTTTTTTCTTACTATTTGGTTGAGAAGAGGATTTTTACATGTGCTCAACACCACCACCATTGCTGACGTAACACTGCGCCTTACAATGATGTTACTTAAAGTGTTCTTGTGTTCCTTTTCTGTACTCTTCTAACCGTTATTTGTTGTTCAAGCAGATTATGCAATTGCCCACATTATCCTAGTTTTTGAATAAAGTAACAGATGGTTTTATTTGAAAAAGCTAAAAAAAAACTTCATAGTGCTCTACATTTTTAACAGTACCATAAAATAATCTCCAGCTGTTCAATATTTGTCACATTTGATGAATGATCTATAACAATAGAATATGATTTGTTTTCCTTATTTTTAAACGCACGTGTCATCTCAATTTGTACAGATTCTTCTTTTCTTTGTAATGAGTATTTATAAAATGCTTTTGATGTCTATTTGGCCTTTTATCACTTTGATTTTTCTCCAAGTACTAATGGCAAAAAATTAATCAAATTCTACAATTAGTTTTATGATTTTCATGGTCTTTCTATTAAGAAATGTCACTTGTCTCTATGACTTCTAAAGAGGAAACGTGTTTCCTTGAGACTTGAATGATTATAATTTATCTTTTAGTACCTCAAAATCATACTTACTCTTCTTGAAACATTGGTTCAAATTTGTGTGTTTTGACTTATTTATTTATTTATTATGTATTTGGTACAGGGTCTCACTGCACAGCTCAGACTCGCACTCATAGTGATCCTCCTGTTTTCAGCCTCCCCGGTGCTTGGATTACAGGCGAGCACCACCATGCCCAGTTTTGGTGGCTGCTATGGCATGCCTGGGGTTCTGGGACCTGCACAGTATATGGTACTTGGGATCAAATTCGGGTCCTTGAGCTTGCCAGGCAGGTGCTTAGACCATTGAGCTATCTACCCAGCCTCTATTTTATGAATTTTGGTTGAATGATAGTGTTAAAATATATCACCATACACCTGAAAGTTCATATTATCTAGAAATATTGATAGATTTTTCACAGTAGATGTCAGAAAAAAACTGAACTAGAAAAAGAAACCAGTTCCAAGTAATTGTGATTAAAATCTCTTGCCTTTACAAATTAAAAAATAACATTTGAAATAGTCTTCAGTGTCTTAAAAGCCAACCCCTGTATGCAAAAGATTAGATACATTTATGTCTTGATCTAAAATTTCTTCTCACTCTTAGATAACAGAAATTCTGATACTGCCTTAAAAATATAAAACTTGCCTCAATTCAGTAAGGATTTCACCAAACGTACTCATCAGTATTTATTGTTGTTCTCTTCCTCCAAATGGGCTGATAGAAATTCATGATATGGGAAGGGACAGGTCTGAAGTTTTCTCTGTCAATAATTTCTCCACCAAATGCCACCAATCTGATGAAACAGGAAGAACATAAAAAAGGTTACAGGAGTCCTTAAGAGGTACCCCTAAGACCAGAAAGGTGCTGAAAGCAGTTTTCACAGCTCGTATTGCCTGCACATACACGATACCTGATGGCCACGAGGTAAGGGAGGAGTTTATGGCTCATGGTTGTGTTCCACGGCCAGTTGACTCCAGCACAGGAGCATCATGGCAGAAGAGCATGGTGTGGCAAAGCGGCTTAGTTTGCAGCAGTGAGGACGCAGATCAAAAGAACAGTGCCAGAGAGGAAGGGCTTATGGAGAAGCTGCAACAGGCAAGGCCCCTCTACCCAGAAGTGTGCCTCACTATTCCCCTTCCTGGCTCCCAAGGAAACCAAGTTGTCCATGAAGCTTACCAGTGACTCAGATTCTCTCTTTGCTGGGAGCTTCTTTGCTTCTTTAGAGTCCTCTCACCTGCCAATGTGCTGTCTGCAGCCACTGTGATCCTGATCCTGTTTCTTGTGGCATCTCTTGCCGCTCCCTCCTCAACCCCTAGTTTTGTGAAAGTGCAAGGCACAGAGACTTTGTTAGGTTCCATCTTCTTCACAGGTAGTTGACTTGCTCAGGTGTGAGGCTGGGTGTAATCTGGGTCTTCCTCCCTGGAGGAGCACATCTAATGCAGTGTGTGTGTGTGTGTGTGTGTGTGTGTGTGTGTGTGTGTGTTTTCAAGGATTGAACTCAGTACCTTGTACTTGCCAGGCAAGCAGTTATTCCACTGAATACCTCCCCAGCCCCTAGGAGCACATCTGATTCTTGAAAAGCACGTTTATGTCAATCAAATACATGGGCCGAATAGCTCAGTGGATTAAAGCACCTGCAAACAGGTGCAGGGGCCAGGGATTTGATCCCCGAGCCTGACGTGAGGGCTATGCCTGCCCCTGGGGCATGCTGAGATGGCAATTGAGACTAGGAATGGTGGCGCCCGCCTATAATCCCAGCTCTTGGAAAGTTGTAAACAGGCGGATCATTATGAGTCCAATTTAATAGTGAGACCCTGAACACCCTGTAGACCCTTCCCTAAAATACAAAGAAAAAAGAAAGAAAGAAAGAAAGAAAGAAGAAAGAAAAAGAAAGAAAGAAAAAAGAAAGAAAGAAAGAAAGAAAGAAAGAAAGAAAGAAAGAAAGAAAGAAAGAAAGAAAAGCAAGGGTTCACTCATGAAAAATATCCTGAGGAGATCTGACTGACCTTCTCAGATACAAAAGTTACATTTCTTGTTATATAGGTCTTGCTTTATCTTGGACTTAACCATCCAGCAGAAAAGTATAAACACGAGGTATAAAATGTAAAGCCACATTGCATATGCTGAGCTGTAAGAAGCTCAAGCCAACAGCATCTGACGTTGCAGATGTTATCCTACAGATAACCCACTACTATTATGGACTACTGGACTATATTGGATTATTTTGCCGAATTCACACACTTACAATATTTAAATGTCAATGGCATACCCATCTCTGACAAAACTAAACAAAGAGGATATAAAGAAAGGACTGTCTGGTATCTGTATATACAAAATAGGATAGGTACATAGCTACTTTCTCTTAGTTCAATGAGAAAAAATGATTTGTACTAAAAGTGTTTGGACAGGATATCATGTCTACATCTTGTACTATGAATAATCACCACGAAAACAACAATACGTAATGTGTTAATTATTATAACTGTCCTACTAACCTGCTTTGGAACTGTCTCATTGCTGTTTCTCAATAAAATTAATAAAAAAATCAAATACATGCACACACACACTCCCAGTTTCCACTAGCTCACTCCCACTTCTATATATGGGATGAATAACATGATTTCTCTGAAGGTAGAATTTTCATAAAATTCTCCTGTCGCCTCAGATCCTAACCTTTTTCTACCATCAAGCTAAGTGAAAATCTGTTCCTAGCATTTCCTTTTGACATCTACCTCTTAGCCTGACTCACAATACACTTCATTGCTGCTTGTCCAAATCAAAACTTTGCCTATAGTGCTGCTCACTTTGCTAAGGGGAGAGGCCTTTAAATAACAGGATCTGAAAATTGCTTAAATCATACATGACTGGGTTAGAAATTAATTCTGTATCATTGGAAAATATTTTTTTAATGTAGGCCTTAAAAGATCAAAGCCAGGCTTGTATCAATTACTGAGTTTGAAAACATCGTTATGGTGTTAGGGTCATTAAATAAATCAATCAAAACCTTTTTTTTTCCTTTCTAGAATAACATCATAGAAAACTTTTCACAACTTCAATTGGAATAATTGCAAGTGTTAAATCAGGTATAAATTTTCACTTAAGTCCAAATAGGATTTTTGTCTTGCCATCCCTCTCACTACCACCCTCTTTATCCACACAGGCCACAGGGGACCCTTCTTTCTTCTGGTATTCTGTTTCCACTATTTTCTAATTATTTGGATAAGATTCAGAGCAAGACTGAAGCTAAATGATGTGCAATCGCTACATACCCCTGACAATCAGCTCTCTCCACACCGCCTTCATGCTCAGTAGAAAAGGCAGATTTAATTAGTAAAAGTCACGAACAGCACTGAACAAAATAGTCATTTCCAGCCTTTTGTGAATCTTTAAAAGATTAAGCTAAAAAGTCAGTTTTGTCTGTAATAACTTAAGCCAGTAAAAGCTTTGTTGCTACGTATTCAGCATTTTCCTGTGCTGTCCTCGATCTGAGCTCATTTATCTTAAAGCACCATCACCAATGGTTCTCAGTTATACACAAAGTAAATAAAGTCATTCCCATGCATGAGCTCTATTTGTTAAAATAAAATAGCTCTGCAGCCCCAGAAATTGAGATAAAAGGAAGGATAATGTCTCCTAGGTGAGACTCCACCAGCAATCTTTATTTGCAATCTCTCCTTTCATTCCCAAAGCCAATTTCCTAACTAGTTTGTTTCTTTTTTCAAACACATCATTCTTTTTCTGGATCAAAGTGCATTTTGTATTTTCACATGTGGGTTCTGTGTAAACAGGTTACTTTCTCTATAATCCCAAAATATTTATCTTAACTGTGGAGATCTCTATTGTAATGCTGAAGAAGCAGCAAATTCATTAAGTGTAAGACTCCAGAATACCTTAGGTTCTGTGGCTATCACTATGGTACTCTGCTTAACAGGAAATTCTCGGCAGCTCCTTAGACATCTAGCAGAAGGACATTAATTAACTAAAATATTGTAGAGCTAATGCTTCAAACTCCTGCCGCCGTACACATTGAGTTTTTCAAGGACATCTAATAATAAAGAACACATCTCAATGTTCACATGCTTAACTAATGAAAGGCAGCGATCCCCACTATTCCTTCTTATGCATTAATAATGTCTTTGATGAGGCATTAGTGCCAAGCTTTGAAACCATGTATATGTTCACTGTTTAATTAAACAAATTGTACTCAGGAACTCATCTTACTCAAGAACCATTCTCAGTGGATAGTTGTTTTATCTCAATCCTGTCTTCTTTTTTTTTATTCACTTATTTATTTGGTACAGGATCTTGCTATGCAGTTCAGACTCATAATGAGCCTCTTGTCTCAGCCTCCCTAGGGCTGGGATTACAGGCTGGCACAGTGTGCCCAGGGTTCTGAGGCAAGCACTGCATGTGATACCAGGGTTTGAACCCGGGTCCTTGTGCTTACTAGGCAGTGTGTAGATCACTGAGCTATATCCCCAGCCCTCAATCCCTTCATTAGGAGCCACCATTTGCCTTGCTGGCTTACATAACAGACTTTCATCACCTTTTTGTGCACACATTTGACTGTTTCACTGTCTCCCCACCTATGGAGTAGGATATTTATGGAAATTAAACAGTAAATTGTTGGAGTGAGCTCCACTCCAAGTTCCCCTCACCCCTCTACCACCCACTCCCAGAGAAACGTTGGAAAACCAGCTGGGACTATGGGAAGAAACTTTGGAAGAACTCTGGGAAACTTCTTAAGGTTTGAAAAAAAAAAAAAAAGCAGTAAAAGCTGAGTCAAGATCTAGACAGACAAAGATGATGGAAAAACTTCCTGCCATTTTTCTTTTGCTTCTTTTCCAAGTTGTCCTCAGCCTGGAAACAGCCAGCATTCTGAGTACAGAATGATGGACTCTGACTCTAGATCCTACTTGCAAATTCTATATTTGGTCCAACAACCCAGGGTTCACATAAGCTGCTTCCTTCCTGAGCTTGGAACTCACTGGAGAGATAAAGAAGCTTCTAAAAAAAAAAGAAGACAGTGAACAATCTACAGATGCCTAGGGTGGATGATGCAGATTGTAACCATTTGAAGTTCAGGAGGAGAAGTTGGAGAGAGAGTTGCTTTTTAAGAATTAGGGCCTTCAAAAGCTTCTGTATATATTGGAGTATTTGGAAGACTTCACACATACCCGGAAAAGAAAGGAGTTCAGTAAAGTCCTTAAAGAAAAAATGAAGCTTTCATTTTTGGTTGAGTGGTGAGCCAATGTGACAGAGCCCTGGCACATATCCAACCTATAGGCTGTGAGAGGATT